AAAGTCAAACTACAACTCCTCGATTTCATGAGAATGAGCACGTGCTTGTTCGTACGTGATTTATACCTCATCATCATATTCAGTGTAGATGATGAGATGCTTAAACTTAACTCCGAGCTAGACAGCTTCAGACACTTTAGTCCATTGAAGAGCATTTGCTGAGTCAGAACTACTGGGTCTTCTTTGAAATGAAATGCCTCAAGCCTCAATATTCTTGATTTCCTAACTCTTTCTACGTACGTACGAGTTGTTTAAACCTTTCGACCAAGATTTTCATTTGAAAAAATCGGAAATGTGAACTGATAATATTACTGGTTGAGATATCGGATTCATGTCTCGCATTATCCCACACGCGCTCCAAAGCCTTCTCTCTCACCCGAGAAGCAATAGGAGGATTGCTTGTATTCACAAAACACTCAAACTCCGATTCTACCAAAATACTCAATCAAGAATTCAAGAGAACAAGAGAAGCCAATAGTCCTACTAGAAGCTACAAAGATTTTGCAGCAAGAAAATAAATGAGAAGAAGGAAGATCTCATGAATGGCTTTGATCAATAGAGTGGTTAGCCGAATAAATTTGTAGTCTATCGATTACAGAAGTTCATTGCCTTGAACGTTCTGGACCAATGTACTCCGAAAACAAACTCCAACACCAAAATTTGTTCCCTAGAAATTTATCAGTTTCATCAGCATGTTAGTCCCGGAATGTTGTGCTGGTACTTGGAAGTTGTGTGTATAGCTTTGAACGTGGTGAGATGGCCGAGCGGTCTAAGGCGCTGGTTTAAGGCACCAGTCTCTTCGGAGGCGTGGGTTCGAATCCCACTCTCATCAAAACTTTTCTCTTCAAAATCTTCGTTTTCGAAGTTGTTGAAGAAGTTGGAACGTTAAAGTGAATATGATTGGTCTGTTGTAACGGAAGTCTTTTGTTATTAAAATCTCAGGAAATGATTGACTTTTTAGGTTCGTACGGACAGTTGTTGAAGTGCGCTCTGATGCTAATTCCATAATTTTCCGTCGAACTTGAGTTGAAACCATTCATGATTAGAATTTTCTACAATTCAAAAGGAGGCTTGCTTCCGAGAAGGCAAATTCCTTCAAAATATTTGAATCATGTCGTGTACATGTCATCAAAAGAGGTTTGAATCAGCTCTGGGTTTGAACATGTAATACCATACAGGTCCGAAATTCTTTCATTAAATATTTTGAACACTTTGATCATATCAACGTTCCCTCATCGTCTGTAATACCACAAGATGATCCTAGTTTGCTTTTCGTTAATGCAGGAATGAATCAGGTTTGTTCATGTTAGAACATTATGTTCCATACCATATGAGCACAGTTCAAATCCATATTCCTGGGTGGAACTTCCAACAGATGGGCCAACATTCCTAGGATTGTAAATTCACAAAAATGCATGAGAGCAGGAGGAAAGCACAACGATTTGGAAGACGTAGGAAAAGATTTCCATCACCAAACTTTCTTTGAGATGTTAGGAAACTGGTCTTTCAATAATTCATACGGGAAAGTTAGCATTCTTCAAATTTTTCTTCATTATTTCAAAAATTCAGGAAGCAGCTTGTGAATTAGCTCTGAACTATCTAACTTATACACTGAAAATCGATCCTTCTAGATTATATTATACGTATTTTGGAGGGAACAAGAGTTGCCCAGAAGATTTCAGTACTAGAGCAATTTGGTTGAAATTGGGGTTTCTCTTGACTGGAAAGTGCGAACTGAGTGAATTTATTTTAGAATCCCAGAACAACGAATTTTACCATTCGAAAAAGAGAACTTCTGGGAAATGGGATCTGTAGGACCTTGTGGTCCTTGTACTGAAATTCACTTTGACCGTGTAGGCGGTAGAGTTAGTTAATTTCTATTCTTAAACGAATCAGTGTGTATTTCTAGGATGCTTCTGCATTAGTGAATAGAGATGATAGTGTGGTTGAGATATGGAATATAGTGTTTATGCAGTTGAGCAGGTTTGGTTAAAGTTTATGGTTTTTAACCATCTTTCAAGAGGTCTGGATAATCGATTGAATCCGCTTCCTCATCTCCACATCGATACTGGCATGGGGTTGGAAAGGTTGCTTTCAATCTTACAGGGTGTTCCTTCTAACTTCGATACGGATCTTTTCCTGCCATTGTTCCAACAGCTTACCAAGGTTTATGATAATTTTATTTTGTGGATAATACGTATCTTAAGGTTTCGGATAAGAAATATACTCATTCACTCAGTTCCCTATCAGATAGAGCTTACAGGCTTATTGCAGATCATTTAAGAGCAATAACCGTTTGTTTGGCTGATGGAGCAGCATTTGGTCCTGATAATAGAGGGTATTGGCGAATAATTAACAATGTTTGTAGATCCTTCTTTAGTTTTATCATGCGAAAGATGCTTCGGCGAGCATGTTGGAATGCTTCGCATCATTTGAACATTCAAAGAGGGTTCACGCCAAGCTTAGTGCCGATCATAGTCGAAACCTTAGTAAGTAGTCATATTTCTTACTCTCGAATGTTATTGAATCAGGGTGGAGCTTACCCAGAGTTGAAGAGAGCCGAGGAACAAATCAAAAAAATGTTAGAAAAAGAAGAAGATCAGTTCTGGATGTTGGTGTTCTATTTTTCAGCTTTCATCCATTCATTTTACAGGACTATTGATAAATCTAAAAGTGTCTTCAATGAAATGCTGTTTCGTATGCCGGAAAACACTGCTTTCAGTGGTTACTTCAACATGTTTAGCAAAACTCATTCTTTATGCTCCAGGTCAGGACGCTTGGAAGCTACATGACACTTTTGGCTTGCACATCGATGTTACGCAAGACATATTGGACACAATGGGATTAACGGTCGACACAGAAGAGTTCCGAAAGCTCCAAAATGATGCTAAGGTACTTTCAAACTATTCGACACCATAATACTCGAGTTTGAGATGATTAGCCGAGCCGCCAGTAGTTTATCTCCAATCGTTATATCGTCTAACGAGTTCTTGGATCATACTGATGACGCAAAATATGAATACACTTATGACGGATGTAATTACAGTTCGTTTACAGCATGCTCTAAAATTCATTACTTAATATTTTCCAGCTTTTCCTAACATCGAGAGTCCAATAATGGCCCTCTATGTTAAGTCTAACCGTGTGCAAGAATTACGAGGCGAAGGATCTCTCGTTCTGAAAGAATGTCAGTTTTATGGAACTGAAGGGGGTCAGAAACATGATGAAGGCTACTTGTACTACGGCAAACAGGTTTTTGCTCTCGTGTTTTGTCAAACTAGTCGTTTTTTAGAAAGTATTTGAAGTAAAAAATGTTCGGAAAGTTCAAGGAGTTACTCTCTTAGATGGAATCACCTGTAACGATTCCCAGATTAATGTGGGAATGAGTATAGTTCAAAAAATTGATGAGGTAGACATCCTCCGATACAATTTTCATTTTGTAAGCAACAGAAGCGCCGTTTGGGATTGATGAGATCGCACACTGGGACCCATTTGATCAACTGGGCGCTGAGAATGAGAGGTATTGGAACAGGTCAGAGAGGTTCTTCTGTGGATGACGATAGCTTTCGATTCGACTATGGAACAACGGAGAAGCATAGCTTAACTGAGGTCAGTATGATAATCAATCATCTCTCTAAATCTATGCTTGCTTAGTTGAAATTGGTAGAACAGTTAGTGAGAGAACAAATCCAGAAGAAGCTTTCGTTGATTACGGAGAACATTTGTTCTAATGAAATAGGTACAATTAGGAATTTGCAATCTGATATAAAGGAGATAAGTTATTTAATTCACCAAACAGTTTATATCTATTACTTCACGACAAGAAATACCCGCCTATGCTAAGAGTTTGCGCTATAGGATCACGTTTAGATAATAATGCTATTGCTGTAGAATGCTGTTCTGGAACGTATGTTTTAATCTATGAAACGATGAGGTCTCTGTAAATCAAAAAAACGTTATAGTCATCTGAAAAACACATCTTCTTTGCACGAGTTAGTGATAATGTCTGATAAATCTGCGGCCAAAGGTATTCGCCGACTTCAAGTTCTGACTGGTGAAAAAGCGAGAGATGCTAAGAAAACCAGCAAAAGGTAAAGTTTTATTTTTCATTCACAGTCTCATGTTTTCATTCCAGAATAATGGATGAGTTTGCGACAATAGAGAACAAGAACATGAAAAGATTTATTAACGTAACTAACTTTTTTTCTTCCTCAGTGACATTTTTATTACAGGAGATCACATGGAATAGGATAGGGTTATTTGACACAGTGCTTTTAAAGGAAATGATAAATACGAGAAAACTCAAAAAATAATTTCATAACATCTTGCAATGTTGTTAATATTAAAGCTATTAGTAGATCTTTTATGTTATACATAGTTCGATGAGCAGATCGACGAGCATGAATTCTGAAAAGTGGTTTGAGATGAGTCAGAATGTTTATATTCACCTTCCTCCGACAGAACATCAGAGGTCAAGCATACGTTACATGTATTGTTAATTAGGCTCTCGATATGAGGTCTCAAAGATACAATTTTACATGCGATATTCGCATCCATTTCGATATGAAATCTTAAAAAACCTGATTTATGAAAGATTCTGCTAAAAACCTGTCATCTAACAGAATGTGGTCCTTTCCTACACAGCGTACACTACGAGAACAGAAAAGCATTAATGCTATCGATGAGATGACTGAAGATTCCCTACAAATAGAATTCCTGCTCACAATCTGCAAATAATGTTTTAATGTAGTGACAATAATTGATTCAACTTTTTCAGTGAACACCAGTAAGCAGGAATGATCAACTTCGAGACCGTTAGGAAAAATAGCCAGACTTCCATCAATTGTCACAACCTGAGTGATGTCTCGATAAGGAGTTATCAGAGTGGTCTCTTACTCTTTTTTTATCCTTCACATAACACACATTAGGATACAAAGCCGTTGTTAGAACAGCAAGTAATAAATCCAAAACTTCTTGAGATGGTTCGTTCAGAATAGGATTTTCGCTGAACAAGTGATCAGGAAACCCAGAGGCCCGTAGGGTTTCAATCAATTGACTTTTGACCCTCCTTAAACCGACATATTATACTGATAGTTCAAAAAAAACCAGACGTCGCTAGCGCCAGTACAGGAAGTTTCAAGTCTAGGGCTGAAGCAAACTTTTCGGCATGCGTAGGATCTTTGTTCTTGAATTCCAAATAAGTTTGCAGAATTCGGACATAAAAATAAATAAAGTTGTGTGGTAGGGTGAAATTATACTTACTAGAGTGATATGATCTGAAGTTCGAGTACCCCCAACGCTTGCCTTGGTTTGTACTTCTGACTCATTGGTGGAATATGGGGAGCCAAGAGATATCATAGACATAATTTCACATACGATTGGTCCTATTCTAGAACATATGTTTGTCTCTTTGCAGAAATATCAAGAAAACTACCCCAACACAGTTCCCAAAACAATAGCTTTTCCAAAATTGGGAGGAACTGGGAACTTCGATAAAATGCTTCCTAATCTGGTCAGCTCGATCTGATCATTGATTGCTCCTAGTGCTAAGGAAAAATGTTTAATGGACAGATCGACATTCATTATTACTTCTTAAACTCATTATCGCCTCGTCTATATTAGATTCCTGAGGAGGGTCGATCGCCATTCGCAGAACATCCGCAGGCTCCCCAATTCCTAAAGCTTTAATTTGCAAAATTATGTTGTCGAGTGATAGCCGAAGAATTTCAGGCACAGAATTATCCGGTAGACTGAAGAACATGAATAACTGTCTCTTTGTATAGCACTTACAGTTCAAAATGATCCATCGTACAAAGATGAAAACAAATGCCTCTCTTGACGCGACCAGCTCTCCCTCTCCGTTGTATCAAGCTCGACTTCGATATCCAGACAGTATCAAGCTGGATGACATTTTGATGCTTCTGGGCTTCTTTCTGACTGAAAAAGGAATTTACACGAAGTACTGGCGCTATCGCTTACCGACAAGAGTCAATAACATATGAAACATCGTCGATTGTTATGCTCGATTCAGCTATATTAGTTGATAATATTATCTAAAATTAAAAGTTCAATGAAGGTATAAGGGTCACAAACACCTTCAAATTCGTAGAAGGAAGAAAAACTTTGTTCTGTTCTTCTTTCGTTACACTTGAGTGGAGCGGAAAAATAGTTCCTCGTTCCGCTATATATAATCAGTATACAATTTCATTCTTCGAACTCACAGATCACAGGATTTTTTTCCAGTATTTCTTTCAATTGCGTAATTTCAAACCAACCTGGCATGAACACAAGAATAGAACCTTTAGGAGTACCTTTTAAAATTCTCATAATTATTTTCTAGAAAGAAATATGATGGATATAACTAAGCTCCATGAAAAAGCTTACTTCAATTACATAATTCGCCTCTTGGATCGGGAGATGAAAAACGCGTTTATCAATGTACTCATCGAGACATTGAAGCGGATAATTCTGAGTTAAACATAGCTTACTAAGGATCTCCTCAAGGAAAACAGCTGAAAATGATTACACGAAACGTCTCCGTCGTTCTTCTCACTTTCCACAGGGAACACTTTCCCTTCCACATCTATCACAGGGCAATCATCATAATATGAGGAAAATACGGAGGTATCCATGGAAGCACTCATGAGAATCACTTTGATGGATGAGCCTTCCTGAATCAGCTTCTTCACCAGAATCAGAAGAAAATCAGTCTGTAATTCCATACTCAACGATAGTTCAAAGATGAAAATAAACTTCTAAACTTCTTTCGTGAACTTCATCGATGATGATGTGAGAAATTCCCTTCAAGCCACTATGCATACGCTTTAATAATATCCCAGTAGTACAGAAAACCACAGAGCCGTAAGGGCGAGGAAAGGAATGATCTAATCTGAAGAGGAAAAGCTTGATTATTTCATGTAAATGCATTACCTAACACAATAACCAACTGAAGTTCCAAGTTTTTCTCTTCTCTCAGAAGCTACTCGCTTTGCAAGAGATATCGCGGCGATCCTTCTAGGTTCGGTGACATAAGCCGCGAAGTTGATACCTTCTCCTGTATCGATAAACTCTTCCATAAGATACTGTACGACCTTGAAGTATAATCTTGAATGCCAATCTGAAAACTCAAACTTACTTGAGTACTCTTACCACTTCCAGTCCCTCCTGCTATGATAGTAACTTGATTATTTTTAATAGTTTCGATAATTTTATCCCTACAAAATCATACTTGACAATAATTAATTAATTCTTACTTCTGAGCCAGGATAGGTAGATTATTATTTTTGACCATTCTTTTCTCAAGTCTGTACAAGATATTTGAGACTGTTTCTTTGGTTGTCTGAGTCAACAAGTAAAGTAATGTATACGTGCTAAAAAAGTTTACATTATACCACAAGCCCTCAGATATGGGGCATGATGCCCATGGATTCCAGTTCGGACAAGGTCCTTCGCAAGCTAACTTAGAAGACACAATCTGGACAACAAAGTGTATAATTGCCTTCTGAGACTATCTTTCATACCTCTGATTTGGGATCAAAATGATTTACTGGTAAAAGTTCAATAGGCTTCACGATCGATGCATCATCTTCAGGTACTTTGTCTGGATGTTTGTTTATGGTAAGAAGGTATTTATTAAGCAGTTCTAATGCAGACTCTGTCACTTTTGCTTGAATAAAAGGGATCTGAAACAAGAAGCTTACACGTGAACGTGAACGATTCATACTCTCCGAGAAGTTTTCTTCATATCAACAACGTTGATAGATGGAATTCTCGCTTGATCTTGAGATATGAACCCATTAGATGTGAGATGAACATAAGCTTGTTGACCACAGATCTGCTTAGCTATTTGAAGAGTCTGAGCCTCACCCTCAAAAGTTACATCTAAAATAATTTGTTGATTAAGATCAAAAACGATTAAATCTAACCTATGTTGAGTTCGGGGACGAACATTCTCATTTTCAGTAATATATCGCTGAAAGCAGTTCTAAGTGATTACTCGACCCGTACGCTTACTTCTTCCGATTATTAACATCATAATAGGGCTTTCTTCTGTAGGTTTGTAACCAACTATTAACGTGCATCAAATAGACACCTCCGCCGTTGTTTTTCTCTTCTTGGTTCTGACCACACAAAGATCATTAACTCAAACTCTGAGAACGAACCTGGCATGTTACATACTTTGTTGGAGATGAATCGCTTATAGCTGACTTATTCTTTAGGTTTTGTTTCACTACAGAGAGCGCTCTTTCTGCAGACACTTCCCTGGCAATCTTTATTGAAAATTTCTCTCATGCTCTAACTCTACTAACCTTTTTAGTGGCGCCTTTCCCAATAACTTCAATACTCATTGATTTTATGATTGTGGTGCAAGCAAACTGATCGCCACTATTAAAGTATCGGTATTCGGCAGTTCCTTTCTTGTGCTGACCGAGCAAACCGTATAGTATATCTATTTTACTCCTCGCAACCATTTTTCTACATTAAGCTGTAAATTTAATGTAGCTGATCCTTCGACGTGCAATTGAAAATATGAGTAGTAAGCACACTTTCTCGTTAGATGGAAAATACATTCAAGAAAAATTTGCTTTAACTTTTTGAAATTACTTCGAACTGAGCTTGGCTACAGCTCTTATAAAAATAAAATTATAGCTTTTGATCCAGCATGGCAGAGTTCGTTGAAGCAAGCTTAGAAAATTTGTTACCGGCGCTGGAGGAAATTGCTGCTGTCCAGTTACTAACAACTCAAGAGATCAGTGTATTTGTGAAACGCTGTCGGAGGTATGAATACAGACTACAGAAAAGAGTTAGTTTCCCTTTATTGGCTACAATACTACTTTTTTATCAGGAAAAGACTCCGGAGGATTTTCAAATATATGCAGATTACCTCTCTGACTTGCTGGACCTTCTGTCCTTCAGAAGAACTAAAGTGAAGGCCGAGAAAAATTGGAGTAAAATAAAACGTGAAGTTGTTAGAAAAATAACCAGCTTACTGAGAAGATGTTGTGAAAGATTCAAAGTAACTATCGTATCTGATGCCCATTCATGTTATTTTTCAGGGTCAAATGGAGCTCTGGAGAAAGTTATTCAGTTTTCTACAAAAAAATAACTGTAATGGCGATTTGAGTAAAGCCTATACATCTTGTCTCCAGGTAAGTTAATATAACATGTGATATGATTAGATAATTATAATTATTCTCGTTCAGTATAATAACAGAAACGTAGAGCTGTACGGAGAGGCTGCAAAGTTTGAATTGGTGCAAAACGCTAGTGTCGAAAATGCTCGTGTTGTTCTTCAATTAGCCTTACGAAGACATACTGATTGTGCCCATTTGTTTAGTATTTTCTTCGAAATTGAAGTTTTATACGTGGAAAAGTAAGTGGAGAGTTTGTAATGCCGATGTTGTTAACCGTATTGTGCTTCAGGATATTATCCCGTCGTGAATTCTTGAGCTCAAATGGTAAAAAAAAATCTGACGAGGAAAACGGTACTTATTGTTGTCAGTGATACTAATAGTTTGCGCTTGTAGAGCCAGAGTTGAATGTTGAAGATATTTCGGATGCTATACTTAATCTTCGAGTGGCTGAAATCGTTTTGAAAAACGCAGTTCGCTCTGTGAAAGAATGCGATAAAGGAGGTATCTTAACATGAGCGTTCTGTAATATGCAGTTGGGACACAGACATGTTGAACGAAATGTGGATTATCTTATTCCAAGCAAAAGCGGCTAACAAGGAATGTGTTGAGAGAGTTAGAAACGCTATTGAAACAGAGATTGAAAACCTTACTCAAGAGTGTAAACACTCTTTCCTCGCTACGAAAGCTTCCCTGGAGGGAAAGGTTGTTATACAACTAAAATTGTTTATGTTCGGAGTGTATTTAGAATGTTTATGATGTTTTTGATGAGGCTATCCAAGTGTGTCCGACGCAAGATATGTATAGGAAATACTTGAAGTATTGTGGAAACCATCCAGAAGGTTCATTTGTTTAGCGTTTTCTATCAACATTTATAGTTTTTAGATCCAATATCCAAAGCGAAAGCATCGCTCGTTTTAGGTAAACTAATGGAGAACGGTTGGGCGACTGAACAAGATTATAAAGCTGTGAGTTTATGAGAGATCTCTTGTTTTATTCTATTTATTCAGTCGCTTTCGAATGTTAACTTAATCCTTGACCAAGCCGATGTTGAAAAGGTTTTGGATCACGCCATCAAGGTTAATTTTCTATGTTCTTGTGAAACAGCGACTTTTTAAGGATCATCCGGAGTCTGCAGTTTTCTGGACGAAATACATTCAAAACAAAATAAAAAACTCACGAATTACTGAAAAAAATATTCCTGAGTTTTTTGATTTATTCAGTAAAGCTCTTGATAAAGTAAGTTCCTTTGCCATTCAACACGGTTAGTTATGAATCGTAGATTTCTTCGGATGATGGAACACCTATCTGGGAACTTTTGATTGACTTTAGTGTTGAACATTCGCAAAAGAATGTCGAGAAGGTAATCAGCAACATAAGCCCTCTTACAATATTTGCTTTATTAAGATTTTCGACCGTGCCTTCTTAGTGGCTTCACCAGTTGTCTCTTCTCAAATCAAAATTGTTAGAATAAACTATTTGAATGCTCTTGTCTCAGAACAGAAAATTAGTAATGAGGAGCGTACAACTGAGTTACATAAGCTGATTCAACAAAAACCAAACGAGTGAGTTCAATTTATAATTTAGTTTCTCATGTTTTGTAGACCAAACTTCTATTTACGTGCTGCTGAAGAGGCTCTATCATGGCCAGTCCCTGATATTTCCTTGGCCAGGAAATGCTTCGATGCTGCAGTATCAGAACACTCAACCAGTAGTCCAGAATCATGGCTCGCGTACATCAAATTTTCATACGATCATGATGTCAACCAAATCTCCAAGTTACATCAGGTGGGAAAACGAGGACTGGTCCTATGGATTGCATTATCGATCAAATTGTTTAGAGAGCTATGACTAGTCTTGATAAGCAGTTTGCGCAGGACTTTATCACAGGATGGACGCTGTTGAGTCATAGGGAAGCAGAAAAGGTTACTTTGTTTTTTTTTTATATCTGATGTAAAATCATTCAGGCTATAAAAACGGAATCCGACGCGGTGAAGAGATCGATCGGAGATGTTAAAGATGAAATAGTAAACTTCAAAAAAGAAAAAATTGAATATTAGATATTGTTGATATATTTGTTATTTGTTATCGATTATTCCTCTCATTGTTGATACTGTTTTCGTTGTTGCGTAAATGTTCCTGAATACAAGTTTTTTGTAACAGTGAAATGATGATTACGGTATGGATCCAAATTTATTTGTGTGCTTTGTCTACCGGATTTGCCTCGAATCTAATTTGCAGATGTCTTCCTGGGCTGAACAGTTTGAAGAGCAGGAAAAAGCCGAGGAATCTCTGCCAAGAACCAATATGTTCGCTGTATGATTAAATTTATTACATAAGCGTATTTTATTCATTTATTATACGTTCAGAATGCTCAAGCAAGTCATTCTCCTCACCCTCCACAACATTCTTTTGGAGTGTCTTCAAGAGGTGCATTCAATTATGCATTCGAATAATAGAATAATATTTATTAGGAGGTGGTAGAGGGTTCCAAACGGGGAATGCTGTCTTCAATCCGAATTTGTTTTCTGTTTCAAGAGGTATGAGAAACTCGCAACAAAGCTGTAAAAAAGCTTTAGGTTCTCCTACTGTTAATAGAGGAAGAGGAAGGGGAGCATCTAATTTCGTATGTTTTGAACTGTATTTATTATAGGTGACAGCTTAATTGTCGAACAAAAACTGTTTCAGGTTCCAGCAGTTCAACAAAAACAGTCACTGGACGAATCAACTATAGATAATCGTATGCATATCTTTTCGGTAGCAGAGAGTAATTTGTTCTTTTAAGCGATGACTCCTGAGGAAATTGCTCTTCTCAATAAATTCCTCCATAAAAAAGTTCAAATGATGAGAGAGGGAACTGTCGATGTTCAGAAGCAAAGAGCGGATCCAACAAGCCCTCTGCATTCTGTAATTGCGTTCAGGGAACTCAGAATGTATATTTATCGTTTGTGGGAGTATAAAAAATTGAACATATTTAAGCAAGCCAGAGTTACTTAAAGCTTTAGATCTGATGGGATTCGAACAGCCATCGAAAATCCAAGAGTTCGCTTTACCTCTTCTGCTTATGGAACCGTATGCGCAGTTTTTAATCTCATCAGTAAATAACGTATTCTATCCAGACCTACCAATCTGATTGCTCAATCTCAATCTGGAACCGGTAAAACCGCTGCTTTCGTTCTGACAATGTTATCGAGAGTTAATGTCGAGAAGAAAATGCCTCAATGTCTTTGTTTGGCTCCAACGTACGAATTAGCGAGGCAAATAGGTTCGTTATTCTTATTCGCTGTTCGTAGCCTATGTTTCCAGGAGAAGTTATGACGGAAATGTCCAAGTTCATGGGAGATTTCAAAATACATTACGCTGTGAAAGGAAGTACAGGTATTGTGTCTTTCAGGTCCAAGCTTTGTACCGGAGCTTATTTTAGTTAATCGTGGGCAAACTTTGACAGAACAAGTTATTATTGGAACTCCTGGAAGAGTCTGTTGATATTTTGAAATAGTATATACTAAACCTTTTTCAGGTTATCGATTACATTACCAAATATCGTGCTTTTGACCCAGCAGAGATTATCTGTATTGTCTTAGATGAAGCCGATGTTATGATAAGCCAGAGAGGACATCTTGACCTGAGCTATAGAATTTACAAGTTTGATTTCTTTAATATCTTCAACATATTTCTTTTCTAGTGCCGTTTCACAAGCTTCTCCAAATGTACAAGCCATGCTTTTCTCGGCTACATATGATCCTCCTGTTATGGAGTTTGCGGAAAAACTCATAAAGGACGCTGTCTCAGTTACGTATGTTGTCAATTCCTTTTTCTTGTTTAATCCTTCATTGAAGTCTGAAAAGAGAAGACCAAGCTCTTCCTAATATTAAACAGTATTATGTTGAGTGCCATAGCAGAGACGCTAAATTCAAGGTAATATATTACTGTCACTGTATTCTACCAGCTCTTTGCAGGCTGTCTGCGATTTGTACAGTGGTTTAGTGATCGCGTCATCTGTTATTTTCACTCATACTAGGAGCAGTGCAACCTGGATAGCGAACAGAATGCTGGAAAGAGGACACGACGTGATATTTCTTCTTTTTCGATCGTAACTTCTCCGTTTTACAGGTCGCTGTGTTACACGGAGATATGACAGTTAAAGAGAGAGCTTTAGCAATAGAGCAGTTCAAAGAAGGCTACTATAAAGTACTAATCACTACTAATGTTTGTGCTAGAGGTTGAAAAGGTTAACAGATAGGTTTTTTATGTTGTTGTTCCAGGTATCGACGTTTCTCAAGTTTCGATAGTCATTAACTATGATGTACCATATTATATGGATAACAGAGAGGAGCCGGACTTTGAAACATATATACACAGAATCGGAAGGTTGGTGAAGATATTCCCTGATACATGTCAACGTTTTTCTCAGAACTGGTAGGTTTGGTAAATCGGGCATTGCCATTAATTTCGTTGATACTCATCAAGCTTACAATATGATCAAAAAGATCGAACAGCACTTTGGTTAGTTAAACAAGAGACATCAGTATTAAACTTGTCAAAATATAGGAAAGGACATCGTAAAACTAGATCCAAGCGACTTGGCCCAGCTAGAAGATATTGAAAAGGACAACTAGCTTTTTGAGGCAAGCACGTTTTTAAATTTCTTTCTGTTCATTGTTTTTCTTGTTGTTATGCTCACATATTTTCTCATATCTTTTGAGTTTGCCATTAAACTTCTTTAATAAGTGAGCTTCGTTTCCTGAAAGGCTTAGCTGAACCTTCTAAGCAATTATGTGCTTACTGGCTGTCGCCTCTTTTGATAATAATTATATTTTTTAATAGGACTTAGCTTCATATTTCATAGGGCATTTGTGAATGGTAGACAGTTAAATACCACTCGAGAGACAGCAATTAGTGTTCCATGCACATTCGTTGAAATATTCAATGATTACAGCATCTTTTGTTGTACTAATATGATGTCTCTATACATAGAGGTCTGTAATGTGAGATTCTACATGCTTCCGTACAGTCTACCACATGGAGGAATCTGAAGCTTTCCCTTATTACAACACCATTTAAATAGACGGAAGGATTACGTAAATCTGACAAACCTAGTATTTACTTTAATCCAAGTAAGGAAGTCGAAGAAAGGTCAACCAGGTGTTACAATCGGCTAATATCCTAATCTCTAAATTGCGCAACTTTTCAGTGTTTAAGAGTATTAGTTGACTTTTTTGCTTAATTTTTAATAATTAATTATTTAGTCACTTGACATTCGGATGGGAAATTTTGCATAACATAAGGAGTAACTACGAGTTAATGAGTTCATCAAGAATATCTTTGTTCTCGATGTTTACATACATGGAATGCTATAATATTCCTACCACATATCATGTAAATGAAAAGAAGAAATAATGACACAGCTGAATATGGACTATACAAGAAATATCAAAAATAAAACAAACAACAACAGATGACGCACTCATTACATGTTCAGTCAGCTAGTTGGCTTTAGTTTTTCGCTAATTGGCTAACAGATGACATCCTTCTGATACTTCATTTTAGGTCATCAACATCATCAGCTTGTGGATTCTTCTGAATTCTTTCTTATTTGGTCAGCGTTGTTTTCAATGTCGAAATCTCACTCCCTCAAGCTTATCTTACTGTTATCAGTGTATATACGTGTGTAATTGTTCACTTGATGACTCAAATGCTTTCACCCTATCAGATTTTCATCATCACAAACGTAACATCCCACATCCTCGTTTTTGTTTTATTCATGCGTCATGTTACACGCCGTCATGTATCAAAATTCTATTTCTCATCCTTTTGTTTTGGCTTTGTACTCAAAAAAAGATGTATAAGCTTAAATCGTTCTCCTGCTTGACTGAAAAATTCACCGAAAATATTTTTTTAATAGAATGTTCCAAATTCATCCCCGTGCTGCCTGCTTTTTCCTAGGATATTCTCATTTTTGAAGAATTGACCACTAAACCAACTTCTGTTATTTTTTTCGCTAATGAATGTCCCTTAGTTTTAAATAGGTTAGTTATCCTAATAAAGCGTAAGTTGAGAAGATGTATTGTTGACTCAGACCTCGAACGCAATTAGTGAATTCATAGTATATATCATGACATCCGAACAGAGGCCAGATGTCATGAGATACCGTGTTGACCAAAAGGATTTGGAAACGGTTGGACTCCAAAAGATGACGATCTCGAGCCGATCATCTCACCTCCGCTAGCTTTTATATTGCAAAACCTCATATGGATCATGTGCACAGACACTATCTATGACTGTGAACATCTTCCTTGCCCATTATCCATCCGTCCGAGTATATTCTTCAACCTGCTGCTCTCAATTTTTCTTTTTATCTTCTTACTTGATGCGGTCGAATTGCGCATCTGCTCAGATTACAATTACCGATTTGGCATTTTGAATTATAGCAGCAGGAGATTGTCGGTAAAATCGAAAAAACAAACAAAACTTATTAGTAATATGTTGTGTTTACAACACACACATTATACAACCTTTTATGTGCCAAGAGCAACCGATCTGTAGGTCTCAATGAAGTGGGAATGAGTTTCACACTTGCACTATACTCTAATTAACATTTTTGTTTCGCGCCCAAAAATCTGTCATGTTGGTGGAAAAACCCAAGAATTGTATTTTGAGTTTCAATTGCGGATTCGGGAAAACATATGCCGACTATACCTTTGGAATAAATAAATTAAATGATTAGTAGCTGGCTGTTCGTACAGGATTCGAAGCGCATAAACAATTTGCCACTGGAATTAAAAGAGAGAGAATGCCCTCGCAAAAATATGCGTTTTTACTACATATCTATATTTGAATTAATCGTTGCTTGAAGCTAATTGTAATTATGTAGAGCGACGATATGACATCTACGATATGATGGTGTTGTTAGTGCTTGAAGCATTTGAAGAACAATTCATCTGACATGTCAAGCATTTGTTCCGCTCCAACACATAGTATAGAAAATATTCATTAAATCCGCTACAAGTAAGAAGTTCTTATAAATGGCGGTAGCTGCTGTTTCAATAGTTTTTTCTCTAATATAAGTGTATGGAAAGTCAAATTTTTTGATCTTTTTCGGATCTGAAGTATTGGTCTAGCATCACATGAGAAGCTATTGTAAGTGAGTCTCTCACCATTCAACATCATCATTTTGATGCGGAATCTATTATGTCTTTTAGCTCGTCTATCGTCGTCTAGTAACCTGCCAGGTTGATTTCCTTGAGAAAAGATGAACCAACAACACTTCCTTGATCTATGCCTATACTATTTTGTCTTTGTTTATCTCTGTACTCAAAAATGTTATAATCTCAACTTATCTCCTCTATCTCTCTCTCATTCACTCCTTTCTGCCCAGTGCTGGTCTTTCAAAGTCTTTTTTCCCGTCTATTCTTCCTGAATCCCCTGATGATTGTCTTTTTCTCTGTTTTTCTATTGCGCAATTGCAGTCAAAACCTTCAGTCAACACTAGATATCATCTCAAAGGCCAATCATTACGATTATACCATTATCTATTAATAACTCATCAAACAGTTCTTCTTCGTTGACTGACCATCAAGTATTAAGTTACCAATGGATGAATTCATTTACCTTTCAAGCTTCAACAGGAAATTATAGCAGAATGAGAAATACGGACATGATAGATGAGATTGAAATTATTCGAAATTAAATAAGTTTTTTTCTGACATACCGTAAAACTACTTCACGATATGCTAACTTCCTTTTCCATTTTAAGAGTTCAGACACTAAAACTATAGGAAAGCAAGCGTTTTCAATCAGATGGTTTTATCACATAAGTGTTCGACTCCATTTCCGCTTCTACCCTTTTTGGTTCCTGCACTTCAAGAATAATTATTTATGACCTTCCATATTAAACTTATCTCCTATCACATCATATCACTTTATTTACTCTCCCACGCTTAAACAGTTTCTTCCATTATCGTCTTACTCTCTTGCTAGTAGGACATTTCTTTTTCTATCAAAACAGAGTATGAAACTATAAACTACTGAGTAGTTTAAAACCTCCATCCTCCTGTTCCCTATTCGTGCAATGACGTACGAAAAAGATTTTCCAGAAATAGTCATCAAAAGTCATTTACGTTCATTCTTTTATACTTTTCTTCAAACTTTTAACTTTTGAGAGAAGAATGGTGGATATTTTTTTTCTTTTCTTCCATTTTATTTTCCTGTTTCAACTCACTTTTGCTTTTGTCACTTCGGATTTCCACAGATGGTCATCATACCAGCTGCCACCTGCGTTTTCTCGCTTGTTTGAATTTGAATTCCCTATTCGACCTTTCTTCTCGTAATATTTCAATGCAACTTCTTGCATCCACGAAGGAAAAAAATCTTTTTTTTTTCGAACTTCATATTCTTAGGAACTTTTCGTTTGTGACTAATTTTGCTTAGTTGGTCATGAAGCTCGCATGACATTAAAGCATACATTTAAGCCTTTTTCCAAAGCTTTCAATCTCCTTCTCTCCAGTAACTTCCAATTTGGAGAAAAAACCAATGAACTGAAATGCTCTCTCTCTCTCTCTAACCTCTGGAAAGCTTCTGAATGCTTTTCCTTTGATTGAGCGCTAACTAATCCCATGGAAATGAGAAGCAGTCATCACCATCTGGAGCTTGTTTTTGCTATTATTGGTAGTGGAGAAAGAAAAAAAGAGCATCATTTCCTCTTCTTTTTCACATCTTCTCGCTGCCCTTCCTATCATTCAACCTCTCTCTCTTTCTCTCTCTCGTTTCTTACATGAGCTTTGTTGATCTTTACTGTTGTCTGGTTGTCAATTCAGTCATTCATCTCTATAGCAGTTCGGTTTCTTTCTCCCAGTTCTTCTTCATTGGCGGCTGACCAACACCAGAAGGCGTTTTGTCATCAGCTTCACGCCTTATGGCTTCCAACACGCTGCGCTTCTTCTTAGCTCATCTTTTAGACCGACAGCTATTTCAAGCTTAAGGATCTAGCTCGTCAATTACCAAACTGCTCTTGTGGGAACTGACGCAATATGCCGTAACGGAAATTCCACATTTTCTCTTTGTTCTCCTTACAATCCTAAGAATGCAAATGAAATCAGTTATGAAGTTCAGTTCGTCAAGAGAACCTTGCAGTACGGAAAGAGATTGACCTCCTCATTTCCTTGGCTCTCAATGAGGATTTTTACGTTGTCATCATTGGCTCACAAGAGCGTCATCATTCAGCTCCTTGCCAGTTTCTTGAACTCACATTCCCCTCATGTAAAGCCAAGAGCTAGCTCAGATTTAAAACATAAAGACAGAATATTAACCTTCTATTATTTACCTGAAGCATATTGAAGTCGTCATCATCTTCTATTCGACTGCTGTCATCATTTCTCACACAACTAGCCTCCGTCCTTTTGTTGTTTTAAGCTTGTGCGTATTGTTCATTTTATTTATTCACTCATTTTCACATTCGCTCATAATAATCAGGTTGAAGAAATTGAGTTTATATTTTGTTTGAAATGCAATGTCTCGTCAAAAGACAAGAAGATTCTGGCTATCCTCTTTGAAGACAGCTAAAGTCACTCTACTTAGACGTCGTAAAGATATCATTCCAACCAATTAATTGTTTCTGTCT